TTTGTATAGGGACCATGTCAGTCTTACTCTTCCTTATTCCCTTTTACAGAGTGAACACTATAATTCTTGCTAGTTGAGTACAGTTCAAGATGGAGCTCAACATTAGTCTGATTATCATTCTGTATTGACAGATGACATAATTTAAAACAAATATTGTATATAAGACAACAAAGAAAAGAAATAGAATTTTAATTTTTGTCTTTTTTGTAAAGGGAAAATGGGAATATTTTAAAATACAAGAAATAAATAAAAGCAATGGATAGAATAAGTCAAGCCATTATTCTCCTTTGAATTGTGTCAACCACCTTTACCTATAGAGTGGATAGGTTTGACTCTTCCACATCCACATGCTACAAAGAGTGGCTCAGAATCTTTTGGAAGGTCCATCTGAGAAAACCCCAGAGAAGTAATTTCCTGAAACTTAACATGTAATCATATGTTCTCCGTGTGAAGTCTTTTTAGTTCTAATATTGCTAGACTGAAAGGACCAGATGATTATTATTTGCAATATATATTTCTGGAACTCAACTTAAATAAGTGAGTTCAATTTGACACCTACGTATTTTGCCCAAATTTATGAGGTCGTATTGAGTGAGTTATACGATCAGAAGTGAGGCAGATGAGGGTACAGCATTAGTGGTGTTCAAGAGTACCATCAGTCAAGGGTTCAGACTTGAAATGAACCGAAAGGGGAAATCTCAGACCAAGTGACCAACACCCCCAGTGGGAAAATGGGATTTCCAGCTCTTCGGGGTCCTATCAGCTCCTTCTAGCACAGTATTTTCCCACTTACCCTATCAAAGTACAAAATATTTCCTAAGTGGGATTTCTATACTCCATGTTGATGTCAAATCTGGCTTCTGGCTGGACAAGAAAATTATACAATACCTCCTGAGTTGTTCTCTGCCTAAGGGGCTAAATCTTCAGTGTGCCTTTTGAGTTTTTCGGAGAGAGGAAGCTACAGAGTTTATGGAAACCTTTGTAGAAATGAAATGCATAGAAACTCTTTCTGTGACCCTGAGCAAACCTACACCACATGATGCACATTTGAGAAAGGGACTTCCTTATGAATGCAAGAAAAAAAGATTTAGAAACAAAGTTAAATGAAGATGGGAGCAGCATTGCTCACAGAAGGAAGATCAAACACGCCATAGAAAATACATGTTACGGTACAATTGCCCTCTGGGAGTCACAGGATTATGAAAGTCTAACTTAATTAAGGGAGAAAATAGGTCATATTTAATAACCACATACGTGACACACCATTCTGACTATATAAAATATCTGAAGAAGAGAGGAAAATGAAGAAATGAGAAATACAAGAAAAGTACCCATGGAATGAATGCATCAATAGCTTCTACTGCATCTAAGTCAGGTAAGTGTTTTGATTTTGTATTTATGAAAAATTCACCAGTCTTCTAATTTCTCTCTTAAAAAACACTTGCGGTATATATGAAAGGGAAACTTGAGGTGTTAAGAGAAGAAACAAAATGATGTTACCAAATTTTTTTTTTTTAAATTAAGAAGTAATAAGTATTCTCTTTGTAAAACTATACCATGCTTTTTTCTTTCCTCCTCTCATGTTATCCAATGAAAGGTAATCAGGTATTTGTGAGCTCTGCAGGGAATTTTCCCCCTTTGAGGGCTCAGTGTCCCTGTGGGGTCGAGCTAATTACAGGTACATTTCCTCTGCAAGGCAGTCAAGCTCTGTATTGTTGAAAGGACAATTAATAATTGAACAAAGCGAGCCAGAATTTTTTTTTTGCTCACATGGCTGGCTTGCAGGCAGCTTTGCTGTCACACAGGGAGCAGAGTCTCTTCTTTGGGTGTCTCCAAGAAAGGCTTCACATTATATGCTGAAAAAAGTCACCTACTGTTTCCAAATTCAAAAGAAACTCTATAGAACCCCACGAAAACAAAAACCCAAAAATCCTAGTATCCTTTTAAAATATTAAAGGCAAGTTCCTCTCCTATCACCAGGAATATGGTAGTGATTAGGTGGTTATTTATGCTAGATGTGAAAGAGATAAAAGAACAGGCTTGGGACTGTAAGGAAGAATCATAGTCTATAAATGCATCAGCTAGCTAGTTTTGCAAGTATTAGAATAGCATTTGACTATAGAAGAGTCAGATTTTCCCTTGAGATGTTGAAGGAGACAGGGAGAGAATCTCTGTAAAGGGTCATGAATTAATACAGTAAATCCTTGTGCTATGTGCCAAGCCATGGGCAGGGGCTTGTAAACTTTTTTGTAAAGGATCAAATAGAATATGTTTTAGGCTCTGTGGGCCAAGGGATATTTGTTGCAACTATTCATCTCTGTTGTTTTAGAACAAAAGCAGCCATAGACCATATGTGAATGAATGAGCAACTCTGTGTTTCAATAAAACTGCATGTACACTGAAATTTGAATTTTACATATTTTTTGCATGTCAAAGAATAGAATTCCTCTTTGGATTATTTCCCACCAGTTTAAAAGCTGTTATCAGCTTGTGGGCAGTACATAAGTGAGGCAGACTGGATTTGGCCTATAGCTCTACTTTGCTAACCCCTCCTACCCACTATTGAGAATCTCTGTGAGTATACCTATTTTTCTAGTTGATTTTGAAGTCTCCAGGGTTCTTTAGTGTGTGTAAATACCGTCTTTACTCTGGAAGACATAGTACCCTCCGGTCTTTCATTGACTTGAAACATTATAGAAAATCATGTTATTTAGGGCTCAAAGCAAATGATCATTATCAAAGTGAAGTTTATTAGAGTTACTCATGAAGACCTACCTAGTTAACCTTCTAGATAAACTGGGAAAGAGCCTGAAACTCTGGTAATATATCTGAATTTTTTCTGAATTCAACAGATTAAAAAAGAATCTGTTAGGGGTTTGAAGTCAGTTTTAGACCAAAAGAAATAATGTCTTTGTATTAACATAGTTCATTACTTGATTATAATTTGAATATAATCTATCTTCCCTTTTTTCTCTCTCCCTTTTTTACTTCCTATATTTACCATTTGTTCCACAAAAAATGATTACAAAGAATATCTTTATACAGACATTTTAATTAGAAAAGATGAGACAAAATGAAAATAATGGCAAGAAAACAAGATGATAGCAGGAATGTGAATTCAATGTCATAAACTCCTACAAAGTTTGCATAAAATCAACTTTAACATGTCATTTACACATAATAATTTACCTTCCTTTACAGATAGTATATAAATTTGGCTGTAATTTTGCTATCAATCAGTATAGTGAATATATGATCATATATAAAAATTCCCTGGGTCTATTCTTAAAAAACAAAATATTGCTTAGGAAAAAGATGGTAGAGATAGTGAAAACAAAGAGGAGTTTCTTCAAAGGATTCTTCACAAAGGAAAAATCTGGGAAAAAATTCATACTTTCTCATTAACGTAAGTGGAAAAAATGATTTTGGAAAGTATCTTTTACAACATCCTTAAACTTGTAGCTTCTATACCAAATTGCCCTTAAGTAAAGGCAATCCTACTTGAGAGAGAGGAGGGGAGTGTGGAATTGGGGGCCAATATAATACCATGCAAGTAGAATGTGTCTGAAAGTTTAGTTTCTTCCTTGGAAGTGGTGTATGATATCCCCTGGTTCATACTTCAGACCATCCTCCATTACGTACTTATTTTCACATGAGGTCTAAACTGAGTCCGTGAGGAAACAACTTTGATACTGACTTCCTAAATCAATATACTGCTTGAACGTACATGTGTATTATCAGTGAATGATGGGTCACTTGGGTTAATAAGGATGGGTTTTGAGAGAATTTTTAATGAAATAGAGTCCTCTAATAAGAATACTTGCCTAAATATAAGATCACTATATAGGTTGGTCCAAAGTTTACCCAAGAAATTAATTTGGGGTATAATGCAAGTGAAGGCCCCAGAGATTTTTAAAGGCACTATAACCACACACACTATCCCAACCTTTTAGAGACATATCAAGAAAGCTCATATGTATGCCCAGCTTTATACAATATTTTTTATGGTGTTCATTCCAAAATGAATATGCTGTAACTTAAATTTCTAGGTACTTATATGAAAAAACTTTAACAGACTATCAGATATAAATCAGTTAAAATTCAGGGGCTCGTTATCAAAATAAACAGTATGTTATAAGAATAACTGATCAATAGCTCCTCATTTTGGAATAATTAACTAGCAGGCTTTACTCCTTCACTCTTCAAAGACTGTATACTGGCAAAGGCATTGTCTTGCATTAAGGAAATATAATTGGTAGAGCAGGAGAGTTAATCCTAAATAATTTGGTAAAACATTTAAAGTTTAAAAAGCAGGTAAGCTAGGGAACCTAGTTATGGTGATAGTGGTTAGAAGGGGCAGGAAGGATATAGAAGACATTTCTGGGACATGATTTTCTGATTCTTACTTAGTTTGTACCCATAGCTGGAATCCACAATGAGCTCATATGGCTTAGCCGAGGTCTGACACCCAATATGGAGCCAGATACCCGAGATAGGACATTAGAGATGAGAAACAATTTTATATTATTCCTGAAAAATTTCTTCAAAAAGTGCCACATATTCGGAAACTATAGTTAAAAACAAAGCAAAACAAACAAATATAAAAACAACTGCACAAATTTAATTCATACAAAGTATTGCTCCAAGACACTCAAGTTCCAAACTAGCGTACATTTTACATATAATATCAAATAATCCAGTGCTTCTGTGTTTGTTGCTTGGAGGGCTGTTCTATTGAAAATTAAATCATGTATATATATGTGTGTGTGTGTGTGTGTGTATATATACACACACATACATATCAGTGCTATGGTTATAAAATTTATAGAGATGAACACATTAGCAAAGACCACGACAACCCCAAATAAGACGTATGTTGCAATTCCCTTAGTGGTTTAGTAATAAGGCTCATGTTTGTTCTCTGATTCAGTGGAATCCCAAAAGCATGAGGACATCTTCAACAGTATTGATAGTATATTGGAAATTGGAGCATTGCTTACCAGTTGGTGTAAGGTGTCTCCAGGTGATAACAGGTTCAGGACGGCCATTGGCCATGCACACCAGGGTCACATTGCTGCCCTCATTCACAGTGACATCCGAGGAGATGTTGGAGATCTTTGGTGGGACTGTAAAGATAAAAGTAAATTAAATATGTAACCATGTCCTTAAGGTCAGGCTTATAGCACTGGTCTATGCAATTGGAAGTGGCAAATTGAGCTTTTATGACTTAATTTGAGTTTTTATGTTAAGAAGCAGGGTGCATTTAAGACTTGTCTTTATCATCTGCTCACCAAATTTATATGGAGTTCCTAAAGCGTTACTATAAGGTAAAAATATCCCCCATCTCCCAATGGCTATCTGAGTGCTGTAGAACATACATATAGTCACATATTGAAAATGTCTTGGTTAGTTTTAGATTGGCATGGAACTTATTTGATACTAGAAAACATGCACATTTGTACAAATTGATATGTTTTTCTTCTTATCATTGTTACTAATATTTATTTTCTTTCGTATATAAAATGTAGTCCAATCTCTCCTCCAAGTACCAGGAAAATAAAAACAATGCCATATTATAGTATACTATTGTGCTGAATTAAATAACTGTGTGATTAAAATGTAATAATATCTGATTACTTAAAATCTACCCATAGAAGGAAACCATGTGTTAATTACTACAATAGAAAGTTCCTAAATATCATCTGGGTATGTGACAGGCTGTATGATATACCTTAGTATTTAACTGAATTAATAAGACCTATGTCGCAGAAAAGTAGACACTGTAAAAATACTATTACTTTTAATGCTACCACCCATACAACAGACAAAATAATAACAGCTAAGGTTAAGAAAACATTTACTACACATAAGACCTCAGGTAGAGTACTTAACAAGTATCTCAAGTATCATTTCAATAACTTTTTAGGAAGAGATAGATTTATTTCATCAAATTTTGCCAATTAATAAAACACATGAACAATTGGAAATCAAACGATCTTCATTCATGCAATTTAGAGTCTTGATCACCAAAAATCACTTTATAACAATATATTTGCACCAGATTGTTCTTTGCAGCTCAATTCATAATAGCCAAGTGATGGAAGAAGCCCAAGTGCCCATCGACCCATGAATGGATTAATAAATTGTGGAATATGTATATCATCGAATATTATGCAGCCTTAAGAGATGGAGACTTTACTTCTTTTACATTTACATGGATGGAGCTGGAACATATCCTACATAGTAAAGTATCTAAAGAATGGAAGAAAAAATATCCAATGTACTCAGTACTATTATGAAACCAATTTACAATCACTCACACTTCCATATGAAGAATAGATCACAACTATGGCTGAAGATGAAAGAGGGAGGAGGTGGGTGGTGCCTGTGGTTCAGTGAGTTGGGCACTTGCCCCAGATACCAAGGGTAGTGGGTTCAAACCCAGCCCTGGCCAAACTGCAACAAAAAAATATAGCCAGGCATTGTGGCGGGTGCCTGTAGTCCCAGCTACTCGGGAGGCTGAGGCAAGAGAGTAGCCTAAGCCCAGGAGTTGGAGGTTGCTGTGAGCTGTGTGCCACAGCACTCTACTGAGGGTGATAAAGTAAGACTGTCTCTACAAAAAATAAAAAAGAAGAAGAAGGAGGAGGAGGAGGTAAAAGGGGGGATGAGAGGGAAGGGGGGAGGTCAGATTGAGGGAGGGTGAATGGTGGGATCACACCTATAGTACATAATGCAAAGGTACATGTTGGATCTATTAGTATAGAGTATACATGCCTTAACACAATAATTAAATGAGATGAGGTATATATTAACAAGTGTGATGTAAGCGTATCTAATTCAATATGAAATCAGCACATTGTACCCCATAAATGCACTATGTGTTTATTTTTTAATAAAAAAAATAAGTCTTGATTGGGATGACTTTACTATTTCAAAAAGCCTTTGCTCAGGAAGATAGAAGTTAAAAATATCTTTATTATTCATTTCAGGAACTTCCTGAAAATACACTTATGATACCATTTTACTGATCATCTTATAGTAAACATCAAATGAATGTCTTTTCTTTTTCCTGCAAGACTTACTTTGAAACCCTGGTTTCAAAAGAGTTGATTGAGTTTTTTCAATCCTAAAGTGTTCTTTCAATAACTTCTTGTAATAAAAAAAAGATATCTAATGGGGGTTTTATTTATGGGTGAGAAACTAAGGCCGAGAAGGGGCTGGGTGAGGGGTAGAAAATGAGTTTGAATCTAGGCAGACTCCAAGGCCTGTGCTCTTAAGTACTACTTGAATGAAACTTCATCTTCACAATCCAGGCTACCAGATGGCTGAAAATGACAGAAATTACTTTTTGGTGATGTGAGAAATGAGTCCCCAAGGGCAAGCTATACTGCTGTCTGACTGACTTCATTAGTGTTTGGGGTGGCAACATTAGATCCCACACTGGTAGGCTTAAGTGGGAAGTAAATTACTCACAAATTTCATCACAGAGGTTATGCACTGATTACAAATAGCAGGGTTTATGGTTTGCCCGTGATTTTCTTCTTTTTCAAACAGTTGCTTAGGCTCTTCTTGACAAAATGTGTCACTGGGGGAGGGAGAAGGACAAAAGAGCATGAAAGGGTCCAATAGAAAAGAATCTTATTGTTTTCTTATTCTTTCTTCCTCTTAAGGACTCCGAGGAGTGAATAAAACAAGAACCTTTCATGCTAGCAGAAGCAAATGGCTGACAGCCATATAATCCCTGCAAATCCTTGTTAGATGTGAGTGGTGTTTGGGCAACTGACCCATCAGGGTGTAACACGGAGAAAGCAGGATGTGGACTCCCTCGACCTTCTCATTCCTCTCCTGTAGGGCCTCTGGGTAACAAATGGTGATTCCAAATCAAGTCCAATAGGAGCAGTGACTACAGTTGACTCCTGTGATTAGCACTCTTTATTTGTAGAATTTCTATTTCCCCTTTTAGCTGCTGAGGTTAGGGGCCATATTCTTGTGTGCACATGGCAACATGTAATATGTTCTCTCAGACTTCTATAGTAATGACCTGAAAGGTCATACCCATTTTATGGGGAAGAAGATGAGGCTCAGAGAGAAATAATGGCTTGTCAAGGGTGATCCCATCAAGAACTGTGGTGGGACTTAAAATTCAGAGCTTCTGAATGTCTACTTGTTCTGCTGTTTCCTAGTCACAGTTTCTAAAACCACAGTTGAATAAGCCAGAGATCTGAATATCTCCAAAACAACTGCAGTAACTATAAATCAGTGACAGTGTTCAAGGACAAGATTTAGACCTACTAGGTGCCATCCTCAAAATCTAAAACCTGTCACAGGGAGCTGTGTTGTAATTGGTAAGAGCCCACATTACTCAAACTATAGTTCTACAACACAGGACCAAGAATACTGAGATAAAATAGGCATGTGTTTTGATTCTATAAAAAGGGGGCTTTATATCCCTAATAAAAATATGCAATTTTTTTTTCTTTTTGAGACAAATTCTCACTGTGTTGCCCAGGCTATAGTGCCATGGCCTCAGCCTAGTTCACTACAAATTCAAACTCCTGGGATCAAGACTTCTTCTTGTCTCAGCATCCCAAGTAGCTGGGACTATATGTGAGAACAACTACACGTAGCTGATTTTTCTATTCATAGTAGAGAGGGGGGTCTTACACAAAACACGCAAATTTATAAAACAAAATATACTTCCACGATTAACTCACATTACCTCCTTTTAATAAAAGAAACACACACTAGGGACTTTACATTTACATGTCACACAAGTTAAGACACTTGATCAATGTTACATAAGCAGGCACTGATAGAATTGGGAATGACATCTACAATAATTGACTGCAAGGCTCTGGCCCCCAAACCATAATGTGTCTCTTAATTAAGGAAAACGTACTCAGGCCTTAAATCTCAGAGAATGGAGAGGCATGCAGGATTTGTATTGAGCAGTTAGAAATGCAGCCTCATTGTATCACTGCGCCCCACTTGTCTCTTTCTTCCAGTGTATATCACTTCATCATTTATTTTCCTACTTTATTTTTTTTGTATTCTAGCTTCTTCCCATAACACTTTACATGCAATGTAGTTATTTTTGGACTTGAAAGAAATCCCTCCCCAAACCCCATATTACCCTTATATACACTCTTAATCTCTCTTTCCAAATGTCTTTTTTTTTTTTTTTTTTTTTTTGAGACAGAGCCTCAAGCTATCCCCCTGGGTAGAGTGCTGTGGCATCACAGCTCACAGAAACCTCCAACTCTTGGGCTCAGGTGAGTCTCTTCCCTCAGTCTCCCAAGTAGCTGGGACTATAGGCGCCTGACACAACGCCCTGCTCTTTTTTGGTTGCAGCCGTCATTGTTGTTTGGCAGGCCCAGGCTGGATTTGAACCCACCACCTTAGTTGTATGTGGCTGGCACCTTAGCCACTTGAGCCACAGGCGCTGAGCCTCTTTCAAAATTTCTTGAAGAAATTGCTCTAGAGGACAATCCTTTGCCATCTACCCACACTTCAACCTTCAGCGCCATCTGTATCCTCTCCTTAACCTCCACAGAAACTACTCTCAAGAAGCTCACCACAGCCATATTGTTTCTAGATTCATGGATAACTCTTATTATTATCCTGATATGCTTGACTCTCTGTCAATTTTCATAAGCGTCTTTCAGCCCTTTTTGTTTGTTCTTCTTTGTTTCTAGGACTTGATCAAACTCAATTGCTTTCCCTCTAAATCGTCTAGTCATCCCTCTCGGTTTAATTTTTGAACTCATCTTATCCTGTCCCTTAAGTTCGATCTCTGTCCTCTTTCTTCACCTTAATCTATATATTCATTGGGTAATCTTCTCTATTTTCTAGCTCTAGAAGCTAAAGCAATGTCATGGGTGACCCCCAAATCAGTATCTGCAACCCACATTTTTATCATGACTGTTACGCCCACATTTCCAGTTGACTATTCTATATTTCTATTGCATGCCTCAAAGATACCCATGATTCAACATATGCAGAACCAAAGTGACATCTTTCTTTCCATACAACATGGTGTCATCGTGCAGAGTTCCCTAAGGGGAAAAAGAAAAAGCCCCTGCCTCACCTGCTTGACTGCTCTCTCTCCTTCACTGCCCCATACAAA